GGCAGTACACAGCAAAGCTATTGTTATTCAGTTTCAACAGATGATGAAAGATAAGCAAGATTAACAACCTTACACCACCTAGTTAGTGAAGGAGTTTCCTTTAGTCTGGATTCTAAAGCAGGCCTGTCAGGCTCCAGAGTCCACTTCATTTTATTGGTGTAAAGTGTGGTGCTTGCTTTCTACTGTCCCTTCTATGATACTTGTTTAAATTACTTGTTGAATTTGATTATCAGTAAAGGTATTCCTCCGCGGGATTGCTGCATTTGAAGAATACAGTTCAGTGAAGTTTTTCCTAGTTTTATCACCAAATTGATCTACATTTATATCAGTATAATGAATATCTAATTAGGATAATCAGGAGCTTTATTTACCTCCACTTTTGGTCTTCTTTCAACAGTTTGAAAACAGATCCATAGGGAATTGAAAGTTAGATCATTATAAACTATTAAAAAATTAGATCACTATAAATTATTAAAATGTCTAGTTTATAATTTGAAGTATTTCATGGTCATTATAACAGTTATACTTTTCCTGACTATTTTTTCAAGATCTATGATGTGCAGTTAACTTATTTATATATCTTTCATTCATGCTGAAAGTACTACTTTTGCTCCTTTCTCCTTCTGGGCACTGTGCCAGGATTATCAGCCTTACTTCTCCTGAAGCCCAGATGGCTGATAGCTCTTACACCCACCATGCATCTTGTCTGCACACCAGAGTTACATGTAGTTTCCAGTTCCTGCCCCCGCCCCTTCAGGAAAAAAAAAAAAAAGCCTGAATTCAGGGGAAAGAGAAAAAAGGAGGTTGAATTTGAAGACATTTTAGTGTACGAAGTATCACGGTGATTTAGCAGAGGTGTTCATACATTTACTTGTAACAACCCTCACATCTAACTGATATTGATGTTCCAAGAGAGTTCTGAGCATATAAATAAGTAGATCTTGGATCTTCTAGGAAAAGGCCTGCTGATGAAGTTATAGAATGTTCTATGTTAAAGTAATTTAAAAGAAATGTAGTGTCATTAGTAATACGAAGTCTTCCTAGTGTATTTCTAGGGGGAAAGAGTAATTTTAGAATACCAGAAAAGATAAAATGTTTGAAATGGCCTGTCAGTTACAAAGAAAACACTTGAGCAGTGCTTGGAGGTCGGGGTGGTGGTGATGACGAAAGTGATTTTTTTGAACCCAAAAGCCACATATACTATCCTTTAATTTGATTACTGATAGTCTTTTTTTCTATTTGAATATTGAATTTATGCACATAAATGTGTACACACACACAAAGGCACATAAACTTGCACACATAATTAAGTAGCAAGCAGAATCCTTGAAGCTAGATGACAGTTTTTCTTTAGGCACTAGCAATCACTTAACAGTTGATAACAGCTGCCTCACTTAAGAGTTTCCCATTGATTTCTTTAACTGTTTAAAAATATGTTATCTTATAAAATATTGGCCCCACTGTATAGGTTTAATTACTATTCAAGCAGCTCATCCTGACATGATTAATAAGGCACAGAAATAATGTTTCTTCTTCTCTCTGTAAAGCTTTGGTAATTTTGGAAATTGGGTTTCTTTCCTTTGCCAAGTTTTATTTGTAAATAGAAAGGGAATTGTTAAATAGTCTATTGGTTCACAAGAAATCTTTGTTCATTTATTAAGAGCGCACTAGATAACTAAATCCATTTCATTTTCAATAACTTCTTATACTTTTGAGGCAACAACACAAATCATGTAGTTGCTTCAGATATTCAGAAGTTTCTTCCTAAGAAAACCACAGTAACATGTTTTTCTTTTCTTCCACCCACCCTTTTAAAAAAAAATTTTACATAGCTTTTCATAAATTAATGGAGGATTTTTGTTAAAATAATTCTTTTTACTGCAGTACAGGAAATCTGAATGTCCATTAATAGTAGAATGATTAAATTGTGATACATTTTTTCTTGGAGTATCAGCTAGTTATTATGAAAATCATCAAAGTATAGTGACATAAAAGCATGTTTAATGCAATTTAAAACATTTAAATGGCTATGTTTACTGATATTTTTGTATATAAAAAAGAACAATAATATAATCCCTAAGGATACTAAAATTGGTCAAAGGACAGACAAATTGAGAAGATGATTATTAGCTGAAGAAAATCCAGGAATATACTAATGCACATGTGGTAATATTTTATATAAAAGTGACATTTCAAAAGAATGGGAGACAAGCTCAATTATTTAGTAAATGGTGTTAGGAGTTGGCTTTTTTTTTTTTTTTAAAAGATTTATTTATTCATATGGAACTGGGGTACAGGCCAGAGATGTGGAGGGTAAGAGGACTCACCAGGGACAGAGTGGGGAGCAGAACAGGCAGATCCACAAAGTACACTGCTGAGGGGAGCAGTGGGCGGGTCAGGAGAGGTCTGCCACGCCATGTGGATCTCCGGGGCAGGCGGGAATCGAACTCATGTCGCAGTGGCTTTAGTTTCTTAGTGCTGTGCTTTAACCCGCTGTGCCACCAGGGAGGGCCCAGGACAGTCGGCTATTTAGGAAAAAAAGAATAAAGTAGATAAAGTAGAGTCATATATCACTCCTTTCATCATGACTGTCAGGTTTATCAGATATTTAAAGGGTTCTTTTTCTTTTTTGATAATTAAGTCATACAAACATTGGTGATTTTTTTTTTTTTCTAATTTTGATGTGAGGAAAAACTAAACATGACCCTGAATTTAAAAACAATTAAGAAGGATAAATTTTCATATGCCATATCATTTTAAGACTGGAGAACTGGATGAACCTTGAAACTTTATATTCATGGACTCCAGTTTCACCAGTAAGGCAGTTGAACCATTGCAAACATACACTGATGAAAAAAAATCACTACCTTGTGATTTAATATAAGCAAAAATATGTTTAAGTAAACAACAGGTTAACATTTATATACTAATGTTACTTCCAATAATGAGTGAGAAATATCAAAACAGGAAAAAAAAACATTGCGATGAAGAATAAAAGAAATTGGAGTTTATTTCTGGAATAGATTTGGGAGTGATAGAGGAGAGAAACCTCATTTTATGCTATTTTCTTCTTTGTAATATAAATGTGTTTTTATCATTGAGGGAATAGTTTAAAATTTTTATTGAGGTAACATTGGTTTACAGCAATGTTTATATGATTTAGGGGAGTAGGGTTATGCCACCTCAGATGTTGGTCACCACAACACTCTGAATATCAGAGCACCCAGTCCTTTTACACATACAATTAACTGGGCTCCATGTTCTCTTTATTCCACCCTCCCAATCTCTCTACTCCTCTAGTTACCTCAATTCTGCAGACATATTCGTAGCGTTTGTTTTGGTTTAGTTTTGTTAGTTCACTGTTTTCTCTCTCGATAGTTCACATATGAGTGAAATCATCCAGTATTTACTTTCTCCATTTGACTTTTTCACTTAGTATAATTAACCTCCAATTCTGTCCATGTTCTTACATATGGCAAAAGTTCATCTTTTTTTTTTTTTTTAAAGTAACTGAGTAGTATTCCATTGTGCAAAAATATCTTCTTAATCCATCTGTCTGTTATTGGGTACTTGGGTTGCTTCTGTAAGTTGGTTGTTGAAAATAGTGTTGCAGTGAACATAGGAGTGCATATTTCCCTTTGAATTAGTGTTTTTACATTGCTTAGTAGATAGATAGGCAGGGAATTGCTGGATCATATGGCAAATCTATTTTTTTAAAAAGATTTATTTATTTATGCATACAGAACTGGAGTACAGGCCAGAGGTGCAGGGGTGGTGAGAGGATTCACCAGAGACAGAGTGGGGAGCAGAACAGGCAGATCGACGAAGTACATTGCTGAGGGGAGCAACGGGTGGGTCAGAAGAGGTCTGCCACGCCATGTGGGTCACCTCTGCTATGTGGGTCACCTCTGGGGCAGGCAGGAATCGAACTCATGCTGAGGTGGCTTTAGCATCTTAGTGCTGTGCTTTAACCCATTGCGCCACCAGGGAGGGCCTGGTAAGTCTATTTTTAATTCTTTGAGGAACCTCCTTACTATTTTTGTAGGGACTGAACCAGTCTACATTCCTACCAACAGTGTTATGAGAGTTCCTTTTTCTCCAAATTCTTTCCAACACTTGTTGTTTGGGGTTTTTTTATGGGGACTATTCTCATGGGAATGAGATAGTATCTCACTGTTGTTTTTATTTGCATGTGGAAAATAACTTAAAGGGTGTTGAAAAGTAATTAGAATCTGGGGTTTCAAAAAGATTTTGTCACATTCATAGCTGGCTGCTACCTAACTGTGTCAGCCAGTAACTCACTCAGAGGGGAAAAAAGCCCAGAGAACAATTTTTTGTTACCCGATTGCAGTACAAATGTAATGAAGAGGTATTTGTGGTTTGTTGTGACATTGATGACACAGAGGTGCTCTTTAGGCTAAGTGACCCACAGTGCTGATGTTCTGGGTGCTGGGAGGCTTCACAAAGCTAGTTTTGGAGCAGTGTTTGTCATCCTATGAGACAATTCATTTTAAATCTAAAACATGTAGCAAGTATTTTTTCCTTAATAGTGTGCCAGGATCAGTTTTATCATAGTGTAGAATGCAAAGTTCATGTAAATTGTTAATAAAATAGGAATCCTTACAGAACATGTGAAGGGCCACCTCTGAGCTGCTCTGCTCCCCAGAGGCATCACTTTTGTTCTTCTGATGTAAAACTTTGAGAAACACTACCCTGAGTAAATATGTACAGGTGACTGTGACTTGTAATCATCCTAAAGTTTTATTTGGGTTTTAAGCTTTGAATTTAAAGAGGGGAAGGAAGTAGATTTCATAAAAAAGCAATTTATTAGCTCAATTTAGCCCCACTAAGATGAATGTTTGATTATGTACTTAGGGCTCTCACTAAATCTAATACATGCTTGAGCTGGTAGATAGTTTAGTCATTAAAACTATAATGCAATTAAAGCTAAGGAAACTAAATTTGCTTTGATTTTTCTCTTTTCCCCTCTTTTACCACAGGTCTTAGTAATGAAAGGCAGTAATAGAAATAAAGATCATTCAGCAGAAGGAGAAGGGGCTGGAAAAAGACCAAAAAGAAAGTGTCTTCAGTGGCATCCATTACTAGCAAAGAAACTTCTTGATTTTTCAGAAGAAGAAGAAGAGGAAGACGAAGAGGAAGATATTGATAAGGTAATTCCTCTGCTTACTGTAGAAATTTAAAATTTTTATATGTACTCAACACTAGAAACTACAGTGAACATGTATGTTGCAAAAGACGCTTTACTAAAAGTCTTTTTAACTTGCATCCTTTTGCAGTAAATGGCAACTCCCAACATTGAGGTTGGTCACAGCTGGGACCTTATCAGTTTCCTTTTGCTCAGATGTGACATCCATCCATCTCTCAGTAAATTCTCAGTCTGCCACAATAAGTTCTCATTTTGAAAACCCTTCTTAGCCACATCATGACTGCTATCTTGATCTAACCATTGCCATTTGTAGTGCAGATTATTACATTCTGTCTTTCTCCCTTCTACTCTTGCCCTTCTACAGCTTGTTCTCAGCAAAGTAACAGAGGGATCCTTTTAAAATGGAAGGCTGCTTTGTGCTACTTTTCTGCTTCTACTTTATGAGGGACTAACTGCTCTGTCTGCATCACCTGGTCCTTATCAGGTGCCCAGTAAACGGCTGTTGTATGAATTTGAGTCATTGAAACCTGCTTTCACTCTCCATTCACTGATCTCATCCTCAACACTAGTCTTCTCTGTACTAGTGACTTGGTTTGATTTTCCATATGAGGCCTCCCTTTTGAAAGCCCAACTTATTTATGTCATATAACATACCCTGTATCCAACTCAAGTTCAGCTTCTTAATACTAATCTTTCTACTCCCCTCAGATCTAATTTCCTCATTTGAGCAAAAGTATTCCCTTCGTGTTTGAAGGAGCCTTGCCATCCAACCGAGAAACACTTTTGTAATTGGTACATTCACTTATATCCCAGTCAGTCTTTGTTCTTCTTCATAAACATTGTCTTTGTTCTCCATTCTTGTTATTGCTGTTCATTATTCGATTCAGCCCTGTTCTTTTTCTAGTCTGAACTACTGGAGTAATGTTTTTTATTAGTTTTTCAACTTTTGGTTGCTTCTAGTTTTTCTGTTAGAATTCATATTCTATACTGCTGACAGGAATTACCTGAAAATAGAAATCTAACAATGCCTTTTCCTTGGCTTCAAGTCATTCAAAACTCTCTGTTGCACCCCGATGTGTTTTCCCTGTTCTGGTTGTTACTAATGTTGTTGTAGTACAGAGCATAACTGGGCCCCCCAGGAAGAAAAGTAAGTGCAAAAGAGTTTTTCACTTTTTTATGTATTTATTTGTTCACTTGCTTTTTGGCTAATTTAATAAAGTAGTTATAATATTAAACGAGTAATAACCTTTTTTTAGTAACATTAAATAGTAGTTAATAGTGGTTAATAACTTGCTTGTACTTGGCCCCCCCAAAAAAAAAAATAGTCCATGGTCTATATTGATCATGCCCCCAAGTTGGTTTTTTGTTTTTTCATTTTTTTAAAAAAGATTTATTTATTTATTCGTACAGAACTGGGGTACAGGCCAGAGATGCGGAGGGTGAGAGGATTCACCAGAGACAGAGTGGGGCACAGAACAGGCAGATCGACTAAGTACACTGCTGAGGGGAGCAGTGGGCTGGTCAGGAGAGGTCTGCCTTGCCATGTGGATCTCCTCCGGGGCAGGCGGGGATCGAACTCATGCAGAAGTGGCTTAAGCTTTGTGCTTTGCTTTAACCCACTGCGCCACCAGGGAGGGCCCTGGTTTTTGTTGTTGTTGGTGTTGTTGTTGTTTTTTGGTTAATTGTTTCATCCAGAATAAAACCACTCACTCACAGGATTAAGTGCATGTTTTAAAACATGACAATGCACATTCTTCGGTAATTGGTCATATCTTCTATAATCTCATGTTATAGATCCCTGTTACAATCTTTTACACACTAATACTACTGAACTACATTATCTATCTTCAAATAAACCAACCTTAATTCCTGTCAGTTCCCTGTCTTTCCATTTACTACCTGACTTATTTTGATTCATCTTCAAAGTTTACCTGCAACACCACCTTTCCAGAGAGACTTCCCTGTGTTTCTACCCAATTATTAGTGCTTCATTATCACACTTGTTCCTTTTTGCAGTCATCATACAGTTTTCAAATTTGTTTATATATAAGACAGTAAGCTGTTGGGCCAGATGTTTGTCTCATTTACCTCTTCTCCCAGCTCTTGACTTGAGATTTATAATTTAGCAACGGAATCGAAAGTTACTCTTTTTTTATAGGGAAAAATATGATTACTTTTTCAGCCTGCTTTTTTCAATTCTTGATTTTTCTGTAGCTTCTTTGTTTTAGAATGTTAAATAGGAATCCTTGAAAATACAAATCATTGCTACTGAATGTGTACTAATGAGGAAGCTACATCTGTAGCCCTCACCCCAGATAATAATCCCTAATGCATTTCCAAATCAGATAGTTACGACTTTAAGATTGTTCTGTACTATTTGTATTTGAAGTTAATTGATGATTAATTAAATGCATTTGCAGCACTCATTTAAACTTAAAAATCTTCTTCAAAAGTTTCAAATTGAGCTTATCATTTGTCCTAGAATATCTTTCTGTAACAGTTTCCAGTAGACATTTTATAAAAGAACATGGCTTACCTATAGTAGTGGTGGTTCTCAGAGTGTGCACCTCAGACTGGCATCATCAGCATCACTTGGGAACTTGTTAGAAATATGAGATTCTCAAGGCCCACTTAGATCTCCAGAATCAGAATCTCTGGGAATGGAACCTAACAATCTGGATTTTAACAAGATCTCCAGGGATTCCAGGATACATTCAAGATTGAGAACTCCTGCCCTACTATGTAATGTAGACGAATAGCTACCTCGATCCTTCCTGATTTTAACTATGAAATAAGTTCAAGGAATGGTTTTAGTAAGCATTCTGAACATGTATTCATAGTTGTGCTATTTCCAAGAAATATCATTGAATCCTATTTTAACTTTAGAAGATACTTAGCAATCCTGAGATATTCTGGGATTCTGTGACCAAACATGTGCTTTTAGAAATTTTAACTGCAGCCATGTGCAGGAAGTATTACAGGGAATTAAAAGTAGGAAGAATTGGTCATATGTCACAGTGGTATTAGGGCAGGGTTAATGAGAATTACAGAAATGGAAGGGGCAGGACGAGAGGTTTGCAGAAGACCTTAAATTGGAATGTAGCTTAGAAAAAGGGAGGGTAGCTTCTGCCTCTCACCATTGTATTTCACTAGACAAGTGAATTTGCTGTTGAGAACCTTCATATACTGTTGGTGGAAATGTAGACTAGTCCAGCCCCTATGGAAATCAGTGCACTTTCTCAAAAGAGTAGAAATGGATCTGCCCTATGACTCAGCAGTTCCACTCCTAGCTATCTGTTCCAACAATGTAAAAACACTGATTTGAGAGGAAACCTGCACTCCAGTGTTTATTGCAGTTCTATTTACACTAGCCAAAGTATGGAAACAACCAAAGTGCCCAAACACAGATAAGTGGGTGAAGAAGATGTGGGATATATTCATGATGAAATAACTACTCAGTGATCCATAAAGATGGACTCATGTCATTTGCAGCAACATAGATGGAGCAGAAAGGGTATTATGCCAAGCTAAATGAGACAGAAGGAGAAAGATTAATACTGGATGGATGGTGTTTTATGTGAAATATAAAGAAAACAAACAAAGGGTCAGACAAACAGACTTTAAAACCACCCTATTGAAAGCTGACCATAGATCTCAGACATCCAAAGGGGGAGACAAGAGGGGTGCTGGGAGGGGGAGCATAAAGCACTGTGGTGGAGGACTGATGGATGCTTTGGTGTTGGTAGTGTTACTGTCTCAATGACAGCACCCAAGGAGGGACACTCTGTATTGTCAAAACACTAAAGAGGATGTAAAACAATGTTTTGATTTAAAAAAAAAAAAAGTAACAGTAGGATGAAGACTAGATCAGTGGTTGCCGTGGGGTTAGAATGGGATTAAAAAAATGGTATTTGAGAGGGCCCTCCCTGGTGGCGCAGCGGG